AAGATATTACCTATAAATATCTATAGTCTTTCCACAATGACTATAAAGTTAGCTTTCTTTTCTGTCCCAATTCTTCATACCTGTTCAACATTCTCATTTCCCCAACTTCCCAGTGTAGTTATGTGGCAGCTTTGGTGAGGCCAGTATTAATTTTTACATTAGTAATCACAGCTCAGACATGTAAATTGTGAATATGTTTCTTTGCTTGTGCAACTTTTTTGGGTAGTGTGTTAAATACTTGCTCTGTTTTTATCATAATTGATCTCTAAACTTTTTACCAATTGTCTAAGTCTCCTTTAGAAAATAAAGAGTAGGCCCTCCCTGGTGGTGCAGCAGGTTAAAGCACAGCACCGCCATGGTGCCCACATCAGTGTGAGTTCAATACCCACCACGGGAAGTGACCCAAATGGTACGGCAGACCTCTCCTGTCTCACCTGCAGCTCCCCTCAGCAGTGCACTTCATCAGTCTGCCTGTTGTGCGCCCCACTCTGATTCTGGTGAATACTCTCACAGTCCATGCACCTCTGGCCTGTACCCCAGTTCTGTATGCACAAATAAATAAATCTTTAAACAGAAAATACAGGGCCCTTCTTGGTGACACAGCAGGTTAAAGCACAGCACTAAGAAACTAAAGCCACTTCCACATGCGTTTGATGCCTGCCTGCCCCGAAGGTGACCCACAAGGTGTGATAGACTTCTCCTGACCGCCCACTGCTCCCCTCAGTAGTGTACTTCATCAGCCTGCCTGTTCTGCTCCCCACTCTGTCTCTGGTGAAGCCTCTCACTGCCCCTGCTCCTCTGGCCTGTACTGCAGTTCTGTATGCATAGATAAATAAATCTTTTTTTTTTTTTTTAAAGAAAATACAAATGTATTGGTATTTTGTCATGACACTTTGCTGACGTTCTCTTGGGACCTCAGATGGTCTCTACAGGACTGCCTGCTCTTTGTATGGTGCACAGCTATCATCCTGAGATCTCAGTCCCCGTCATGGCTGCATTCCTTTTTGCCTCCCTCCCACATTAAGGTCTTTGTCCCCTATATTCCATATCTTACTCCTGTCCCCTTCGTTTGGCAGAGGCAACCTGAGGAAGGATATGTGCAAGATAAATAGACAAACTGCATATATAAAATTACTTATTTTACCCCTGAACTTGAATAATTTGGCTGGGTTAACTAGTAGAGAAATCTGAAGCTGTTGTGGTTCCTGATCCTTAGTATGTGTCACATTTTACCTTTGACAGTTTGCAGGGTCAACTGCCCCAGTGTTCTAAAATCTTCATGCTGTGCTTTGATTTGAGTCTGTTTTATCCATTGTGTTTGATACTCAGTTGTCTGTTTGAGGCATATAACTCCTATCTTACAGTTCCAAGAACTTTTCTTAAAACAGCTCCTTTTTATTGTTCCTTTTTACTTTTGAGATTTTGATAGGGATTGTGTGAAAACTGTATATAAATTTGAGGAGAACTGAAATCTTTACTGTGGTGGTGTTCTACCTCAGGGGTATATTTTTTATTTATTTAGATCTTTGATTTCTTTCGTCAGCATTTTAGAGTTTATAGCAGATAGTCTTGAACATGTTTTATTTATGCCTAAATATTTTTTTCTCTCTTAAATAATTTAAAATGGGGTAGTAGTTTTAATTTTGGTGCCTGCATGTCTTATTCTAGTTTGTAAAACAATTTTAGGGGTTATATGTATCCTGTAAACTTGCTGTACTTGTTTATAATAATTGGCTGTAGAAAATTCTGTAGATGTGTTGGATTTCTACAGATAATTATGTTGAACTGCAAATAGATTCAATTTCTTTGTTTTAATCTTGGCTTCCATTTTTCTCTTTATTGTACTGGCTGTTACATAAGAGTGTTGAGACCAGTCTCACCTTATTCCATGTCTTAGAGATAATACTCAGTTTTCACTAGTTAGTATAGTTACCTGTGATCTTTATAGGTGGTCTTTGTTGAGAGAGTTACCTTCTCTTTCTATTTTTTTCTGAGACTGTGAATCCATGTTTAATTTTGCCAAATGCTTGTTCCTCCATTGATTGAAAAGATCATGATACATTTTTCTTTACCTTGTAAGTATGCTGACTTAGTGGCTTATGTGGAATGATTGTTTTTAAAGATTTATTTATGCATACAGAACTGGGGTACAGGACAGGGGTGCAGGGTGGTGAGAAGATTCACCAGAGACAGAGTGGGAGCATTACAGGCAGATCAACAAAGTACACTGCTGAGGGGGAGCAGTGGGCAGGTCAGGAGAGGTCTGCTGAGCCATGTAGGTCACTTCTGGGGCAGAGATAGAACTCATGCTGAAGTGGCTTTAGCTTCTCAGTGCTGTGCTTTAACCTGTTGCACCACCAGGGAGTGATTTTTAAATATATGTGGACTGATTTTTAAATATTGTCCCACTCTTGCATCCTTGGAACTTATCCCACTTGGTCATAATGTACAGCTTTTTATAAATTGCTAAATTTTTCTTTTCTAACATTAATTGTTCTTGTGTCTATATTTATTGAATATTCGTCTATGGTTTTCTGAATTTTTTCCTGGGTTGATAATTTTCCCAACATTAAAAAAATACATATTACATTACTTCCTTCAGGGTCCATGGTTTCTGGTGAAACTATCATGAATTTTTCTTCCCTTACAATTCCTTTCTGACTGGCTTCAATGCCTTTAGGTCTTGGATTTTCAGTTTGACTGCATTTTTGGTGTGGCTTTCTCCTGTTTGGAGTTCACGCAACTTATTGAGTCTTCAGGTGTGTGTTTAGGCAGTTAGAGACTTTTTAATTTTACTTCTCTGAGTATTTCAGCCTTGCCCTTTTTCTTCTCTCCTTCCAGGACTCTTACTACATGAATTTTTGACCTTTTGCTATAGTCATATAGGGGCTCTGTTCAGTCTTCCTCGTGGTCGGTCTTCTCTGTTGTTCAAATTGTGTGATTTCTCTTGTTCTGTCATTCCTTTCACTGGATTCTTCTTTTCGTTCATTGAGGAGCTTTATATTTTGGCTATTGTATTTTCTAATTCTAAGTATCTCTGCTGAAATTTTCTGTTTCTGTGCTTTGACGTTCCATTTTTTTCACGTTTCAAATGTGTTCAAATGCATGTACTTTTGGTTGCTGCTTTAAAATCACCATGAGGTTATCCTGACATTCCTGCCATCTTGATGTTGGCACCTGTTGGTTGTCTTCCTTCATTTATTTTGAGGTTTCCCTGGGTTTTTGTACAATGCAACTTTTTTAAAAAAAATTTTATTTAAACCTAGACATTTTGGGTATTAAGAAGTTCTGGATCTTATTTAAGTCTTTTGTTTTAGCTGGATTTTTCTGACACCACTCTGGCAAGAAAATGGGAGATGTGGCCCTATTATGACTAGCTTGGGTAGAAGTACAGGTTCCCTACTCGACATCCTGTTGACACCTGAGGGTGTCACCTTTCTATGTAGGTTCACCTACTGTGAAGTGAAGATGGATGTTCTGGCTTGTCATTGGGCTGGTACCTGTGACTATTGGTGGAAGCCTCATTACAACAGGTGCCAACATCAAGATGAGGAGGTCCCCAGCACCTCCTCTTCTAACATCTGTATGGTAGAACCAGTGAAGGTGGTGAGGTTCTGACTCTCTACTCAGCCTCCTCTGACACCACCCAACTGAGGTCGGAGTGGCTTGTTACTGACAGGTCGGAGTGGAAGTCTGGCTCCCCAGGTAGCAGCAGCCAACATTGTTGTGCTCTGTGCACCATTGCTTCACAGGGGTGACGTGCCAGCTCCCTGGATGGCCTTTGCTGACACCATCTCTACCGAGGACTTGGTGCCCCTTTAGAGCAGAGTTTAGGCTCCCTTCTTCCTCTTCACCGTTGCTTGTGGGCTGGGAATGAGGTCACATATTTTTTCCCCTGTGGTATTTGGCTGCTACTTACAAGTTATTTGAATAAATTTAATAAATCACATAAGCCACATCTCATTTTCTCCTCTGTAATAATGGGATGATAGGAATGTTGTGTAATGAATGTGATTAATACATACATGAAGATCTTGAAATGTTAGTTGGCACAGAGTTAATGTTCAATAATTACCTACTGATTTTTCACTGAGTTGTTTTAAACTTTTTATTTTTTTAACTTACAATTTATACAAAAAGCACATCTGAAGAAAAGATGTAATAAAAGCAACATGAAGACTGCTCCTTGGCAGGTTATCCCACTCACAGCTGTGGTGATGGGGTGGCAATGACCAAATCCAGTTGCAGTTGAGTCTTACTTTCTCATTACATTTGTGGTTGTGGTTAAGAACACATATCTGCTTTTCTCTGGAAACTGAATGACTAGCTACTTATTTTCTAAGTTCTAGACTTTACAGCAGCTTTGTTTGAACAGTAAAACCCATAAACTATTTTCAAAGTACTTTCAGTTTCCACTATTTGGGTTGGACATAATCCTCACCACTGTATCTTTTCCTAAAGAATCAGTGAAGAGACTGAGAATGAGCCTGAACAGTCACTTGCCACGAGATGTCATTAGCCAGTCATTGGCCATGAAGAATATTTGACTTTTTGAAAGTACTTGTCTTTCTCAACATTGTATTTCTGTAACTGATAAATGGTGAGAATGCTCACAATTATTATTATTATTTATTTTAGATTTATTGATTTGTGCATAGAAAGCTGGGGTACAGGCCAGAGATGCAGGAGCAGTGAGAGGCTTCACCAGAGACAGAGTGGGGAGCAGAACAGGCCAACTAATGAAATACACTGCTGAGTGGAGCAGCAGGTGGGTCAGGAGAGATCTGCTGCGCAATGTGGGTCACCTCCAGGGTGGGGATTGAGCTCAGGCTGAAGTGGCTTTAGCTTCTCAGTGCTGTGCTTTAACTCACTGTGCCACCAGGGACGGCCTTCACAGTTATTATTTTTTGCTGAAAAATTCTCAGTTTCTTGCAATATGAAGCCCTGTTTAATTGTTGTCAGTTTCATTACTAAGCCATCTTTTAAATTTTCCTTTACAGATAATACATCAGAATTTTGACGGTCATAAACTGTCTGATGGTGGAGCTAAGCCATGGCGACAGATGATAAAGTTGCCATCTTAACTGATGATGAAGAGGAACAGAAGAGAAAATATGTGCTTGCTGATCCCTTTAATGGCACTGCCAGGGAACAAGAGCCACCTTCACACGACACTCCCTCTTCCACAGAAACAGCCGCTCTTCCTGAAGAGGAGATAGACTGGATCGAGAAGCATTGTGTTAAAATAAACAATGATCTTCTAATTTCCAAGGTCTTTTACTTTTTCTTCTACTCTGCCTATGGCTCTCTCTATCCGCTTTTGCCTGTGTATTACAAACAGCTGGGGATGTCTCCGAGCCAAAGTGGATTGCTCGTAGGTATTCGATACTTCATTGAATTCTGCAGTGCCCCTTTTTGGGGTGTAGTTGCAGATCGCTTTAAAAAAGGCAAAATTGTCCTCCTCTTTTCACTTTTGTGTTGGGTTTTATTCAACCTGGGCATTGGATTTGTCAAACCTGCCACTCTGAGATGTGTACCAAAGATTTCTCCAACAGCTCACCCCACCAATTCAAGTCACCTGTTAACCACCTTACCAGCAAATTCTTCCATGGTCACTCCCATCACCACATTACCTAGAATGCGGGAGAAGAGGGACCTGCTTCCTTCCAATTGGCCTGTGATGTCAGAAACAGGGCCCAACACCACAGTATATGCCACCAGTGCACCCACTCAGCAGCCTCAGACAGAAGTAGCTACCACCCACTTTACCAACCCGCCCGTGAGCTGGAGCACTGCGGCCTCCACCCCTCCAGGAAATGTAACCAAGGAGACAACCACTTCTGTTGTTACTACCACCAAATCTTTACCTTTGGATCAAGTCACACTTGTTTATGATCAGCAAGAGGTTGAAGCTATTTTCTTGGTGATCTTGGTAGTTGTCATAATAGGAGAGTTTTTTAGTGCCTCTTCCGTCACGATTGTGGACACAGTAACACTGCAGTATCTGGGGAAACACAGAGACCGCTATGGACTGCAGCGTATGTGGGGCTCCCTGGGGTGGGGCCTGGCGATGCTGTCTGTGGGCATCGGGATTGACTACACCCACATAGAAGTGCTCGTTGATGGCAAGGGGTGTAAACCCCCTGAGTACCGGAACTACCAGATCGTCTTCATCGTCTTTGGTGTCCTGATGACCATAGCCTTGATTGTGGCTACCCAGTTCCGGTTCCGCTATAACCATTTCAATAGTAGTGAAAACAAAGGGAAAGAGGTGGAGATCCCTCAGGTGGAGAGGAACAGCTCCACAGAGTCCTCCGAGGAGACCCCCACCACCGCAAGCCACTCGCAGGCCTTCAACTTTTGGGACTTAATCAGACTGCTTTGTGGCGTGCAGTATGGCTCAGTGTTGTTTGTGGCGTGGTTTATGGGTTTTGGATATGGCTTCGTGTTCACCTTTCTCTACTGGCATTTGGAGGACCTGAATGGAACCACAACCCTCTTTGGGGTCTGTTCAGTCCTGAGTCATGTATCCGAGTTGACAGCTTACTTTTTTAGTCACAAGCTGATTGAATTGATTGGCCACATCAGGTAAGAACAGCTTACGCTTCCTGCCCCTAGTAGTTGAATGTTATCTTTTCACAGTTTACGTTGCATCTAAGAGTATTATAAATTGTGTTGAGCTTAGGGTTGGGTGGGACTGAAGCTTTCTGTTGCTTTTCCTCCTTAAAATAGAAACAAAAGGAAGGAAGTGATGAACCTAGTTGAATTATCGAAAGCAAACAAAGAAAAATGCTGCTTCCTCTGTATGCTGAGAGCCTCTTGCAGCAAATGTTTTCAGGTACACAAGCATCAATCTCATGAGCAGTATTATTCCATAGCCCTTGGAGTTCCACCTGTCTCAGGCACTTATGAAAAGGTTTAGGGGATAAAGTGGATTAGGTTTTTGCAGCCTTCTGTTATTCTCAGGCACTTGCTGACACATCTTGAATATTTGGTGTATGAAGATGTCCACTATATTTAGTGAGGCTGTCATTGACTCACCTAATCCATGATATTACATGGAGATTCTTCTACTTTCCTGATTACAGAGTCCTTATTTCTGTCTGCCACCATGACAAAAGTACATTTTAAAAAATCTTTCTTTTACCTGACATCTTCCCTGTAACCCTTTGAGTCGGGAAAAAAACAAAACAAAAAGCCACCCTATGCCTAATGTTTATGTCTCTCATACTAACATTTGTCTGGAGTTGATCATATATTAGCTTGTTGTTTATAAGACTTTCTGCTCTGTCGTTGGCTCTAAAATGTAAAGCCACCTCAGTTGAACATGTTTACTTCACAGAAAAGTATGGCATACCTGTCCCTAAAATTTGAAGTTGCTATAACTAAAAAAAGCAACTGTTTCTATGAGAAGTTAGAAAGGATTAATAGATACTAACAAGATTTGAAGAACATGATTTTTTCCCCTTTAATTTCCCTCTGCCTAATCGACGAAAATATTTTGTAATGTAAAATTCCAACATACTGTCATTCTTTTTTCTCCGAACAATTGTGAATGTTTTCTCTTGTTTTCTTTGGTTTTGTTTTGGGAAGCGATGTTTTGTTCATTTTCTTTCTCAAAGATTTGACTCTTGTTTTCACTAAACAAAGTCAGATGTGTGTGGATAGGCCTTAGACCAACAGACACCCCAGGGCACATTCAGTGGGGGCAGTCTGAAAAGAGTCTTGTAATAATAAGAACTTGGAGTGTCCTGTAACTGTGTCAAGGTCATGTTTACATTCTCTGTGAGGATGGTCACAATTAATTAAGACACTTCTCTGCAATGTGGGGGTGTGAGAGGGATCTCACCACAGCTAATACTATCTTTCAACCATAGTCATTTATTTATTCTCAGTCAGGTCTTACCAGTGAGTGGACTTCTGAGATGTCATTGTTTTATCAGTTAACTGTTGGAGTTAGATGCTGACTCAGCTCAGAAAACAAATTTCTTTCTGTCATTGCCTTTTGTCTGAGGCATATATTTTCATGATAAAATCCTTGCAGGTTTAGTACAAATGTTAGTAGTTATAAGAGACTAACACTGTCTTTCTTTCATAATTTTTACTTTTTATTTAGAAATCTACAGCTCACTTAACCATTATTTTCTGGTGTTATGTACAAAAGCATCTTTCTTATTTAATGATGTGATGGGAGAAGATGACTCTTGTGGTCACACATTTGCTCCCAGAAGCTACTGGGATTTTGTCAACTTGTAGTCATTTACCTCTGTTGGGTTTTAATTCTTGCGATTAAAGTGCATCATCTTACCTACTTTTAAAAGGTTGTGAAAGCTGTAGTGAGATTATGCCCACATAGTCAAGTAAAATGGATTGTTTCTTTTGGTGAGAATTTGAGGCCCCAGTCAATTGAGATTTGGGGGTTTAGAAGTGGAGACTTTTCACTGAAAGAATAGCATTGAAACAGTTGATGAGGAGAAATCAGCTTTCTGTGAATTCATTATCTTTTCTACGCTCATAGGAAGGAACTGTCTGTGGCCCTGGTGTATGTTTTTAACATCTGTGACTGCCTTATTGGAAATTTGTTCTTAGGGTTAGCACTTCCATAAAAAGTGTAACTAATGTGCTCAAAGTAGTTTTTCCACAGTTTCTTTATCTTGATTCATAATGAAGAAATATTTATACCAGCGAACAGTTTTTTTAAAAGATTTATTTATTTACCCACATACAGAACTGGGGTACAGGCCAGAGGTGCAGGGTGGTGAGAGAATTCACCAGAGACAGAGTAGGGAGCAGAACAGGCAGATCGACGAAGTACACTGCTAAAGGGGAGCAGCCGGTGGGTCAGGAGAGGTCTGCCACGCCATGTGGGTCACCTGGGGGGGGGGAGGTGGTGGGGATCAAACTCACGCTGCAGTGGCTTTAGCTTCTCAGTGCTGTGCTTTAATCTGCTGTGCCACCAGAGAGGGCCCAGAGAACAGTTTTTTTTTTTTTTT